ATAACGTATACAGAGCATTTTATGAATCACCCTAGTGGTTAAATACTTAAATTACCACTAACTGGAACAATCTAATCCACTATAAAATCCACTAGCCACTAAAACCAAAAAAATCTCGCTGTAAGGCATATCTAAACCACCAGATCTAGTGGAAAATCCACTAAGTTGGCAACACTGCCTATATGCTTACATTGCTCACAAAACCATACAGAGAATTGCAAAGGCTGCATTCGTTCGAAATAAACCGGTTTCTGCAAGCATTAGAAAAGAGAACAAACATGTAGACCAATAAAACTTCCCTAGCTTAGGTAATGGAGTACCTAAATAAAATTATACTAGCAATGTGACAAATAACAACACTGAGCAGACATATGCTAATGTATTAAAAGGTAATGTTATATATAAACAAAAAGAGAAAAATGAACAAACTACGATGAAAAAAATGGAAGAAAAACAAATAGAATTAACAAACACCCTACTTAACATGATGCCTATACTTATTAATAAGTTATGCAAATGAACTTAAGATTAGCAATATGGAATGCCAATGACCCATCAAGCTCAATAAATTGAAAATGAGAATTATATTGACATTATGCTAGTGTCAGAAACATATTTCACAAATAAAACATTTTTACGAATAAAAAATTATGATATAGTCACTTCTAATCATCCTAGTAACTGGGCTCATGCTGTCTGTGCTGTTTTAATTAAAATTTCTATCAATTATGTCGCTCTTGAACCAATTCAAACACCTTTAATTCAAGCTACTGGAATAAAAGTTAAAACCAACTTTGTATGCTTTGTACTCACCACCAAGACACAACATATCAGCTTCTGAATACGCAAGCTTCTTTAGCGGCTTCGGTCCAAGATTTTTTGTAGGAGGAGATTACTATGCTAAGCATCCCTTGTGGCGCTCACGTATTCCAAACCCAAAGGGCAGAGAGCTTTACAAATGCATTATAAAAAATAATTTAAAAACTCTGTCAAGCGGTGAGACAACCTATTGGCCAAGTGATCCATTGAAATTCCTGACCTCTTAGATTTTGCTGTACATAAAGGTATCCCATCTCAGCTTGTATTCATCATCATAAATTACTAATAAAAATTTTTCCCTTTAATTTTAAAATATTAAAGTCAGAACAAAACACAGCAACAATTGTGTACTAATTAATACTTCCTGTTTACCAACTTTTATACAATTATTATTGTTTTAATTTTTACTGACTCATCAAATTTCTTTTACTTACTTACCTTCATGTTAAATTAATTTAAAAATAAAGTTCATTATTGGTGTAACCTTCAAGGAGATAAGGTGTTTTACTTGGCTCAAATTAACGA